GTCCATCTCGACCAGAAAGGTGGTGGGGCTGACAAGCAAGGCAGCGAATCGGCTGAGGGTGAGAAAAATCCGCTTGTTTAGACATGACCAAAACACTCTTTTCTTGAAACTGGTCCTGTGAGGGTTGAGGAATGAACATGTCTGTATCTTGCTTCTGGGCTAAACCCAGATATAAAACCCATATTTTTATATCAGGACCTGGTCTGTGTTTTTTGGGGCTGCTTCAAAGAGCCCCAGAAAAGAAAGAGAAAAACCCTGAAAACTCAGATGGCGCTCAGTGCATGTGTCCTAGTCTCCCTTGCCATGTAACTAAGGGCTTCTGGAACTTTCCACAAGGACAGGGAAGTTCAAGCAGAAATGGCCTGAATTTTGCAGACATGTTTGAGAAAAACGAACGCAATTGCACATCGTGCCTCTTTCTTTCTTTCTGGTGGCAACAGCCCCATAGGCGTGACTAAATCCAGCCTTCTGAGCCTGACTCTCCCACTTGACTTCCTTGTCTAAGAAGCAGGAGTGAGCGTATATTTTAGCATAATTAACAACTTTCATTGTGATCTTGTAAAAAAGCCATGTCACGCCCCTGTCAGAGTCTGAATCCAAGGAGGAAGATGAGTAGCTGACAGGGAGTGGGATTGTGGCTCCGTTGGCTGTGGAGGAAACTGGGGAAGGGCAAAGTCCGGCTGGGCAGAGCAGAGGAGACGGAGAATAAGGGAGAGGAAGTTCAGAGGAAGACCCAGGCCCACCCCCTCTTCATCCTAGGGCACGCAGGGAGGAATGGAGAAGAGAGCAATGTGGGTTGCATGGCTTATGGGGGAGGAAAGGGCCCTGATTCCCTTCATTAACCACACCTGGGAATGAGAGTTTAAAAGAGATGCATGCTGAGTGTGGCATCTGCTGGGAACAAACATGAGTTTATCATGCGTTGACTTTGGTTATCTGCATTTCTGGAATCCTCCCAACTGCCGTTCCTTCACCTCTGGTATTCCTTCTCTTGCCCTGCCAGACTAATTACCTCCTCTTGCCTTGTTTGGACTTATAGTTACAGTTTGTGTTGACCACGTTTTGGACTTGATTCTCTGCAGCCAAAGGCTGTTCCTGGGAGAGTTTTTCTCCAGCTTAGAAGGTAACCAAGACATTGGGGGCAAAGTTGGAGCTAATAAAGGGACTCCTACTGATCATCTGACTGTGTTGCCTTTGTGCCACGCCCCTTTGGGTCATCACAAGCCAAGGGAACTAGGCTCTTCCTCCCGGTTGACGGGATCTATAAATGCCACATTTCTTCTTTTATTGTTCCTCTTTCGTATTTCTCTGCTGCAGGAGCTGGCTCTGCTATTATTACCATAATACAGGTAGTCCCCGACAACAGTTCATTTAGTGACCGTTCAAAGTTGCAAAATGTGACTTACGACCGTTTTAAAAAAATAGTTAATGACCTTTGCAGCACCCCCTACGATCACGTGACCAAAATTCAGATGCTTGGCAACTGGTTCATATTTGTGACCGTTGTGGTGTCCCAAGGTCACATGATCAGCTTTAGAGACGACCTGACAAGCAAACCCAACGAGGAAGCTTAACAACCAGGCTACTAACATCTTAACTGCAGTGATTCACTTAAGAGTAGAGTAGAAGAGAAGAGAAGATGAAACGGAATAAGGAATAGAATAGAATAGAGAAAGAATAAGGGAAGAATGGAGCAGAACAACAAAACAGAACGAATAAGGAAAGAATGGAATGGAATAGAAGAGAAGAGGAAATGGAATAGAGAATAGAGAAAGAATAACGAAAGAATGGAATGGAATAGGAATAGAATAAGGAATAGGAATAGAGTAGAGTAGAGTAGAATAGGAATAGGGATAGAACAGAACAGAACAGAATAGAATAGAATAGAATAGAATAGAATAGAACAGAGAAAGAATAACGAAAGAATGGAATGGAATAGGAATAGAATAAGAAATAGAGTAGAATAGAATAGGAATAGAATGGAATGGAATGGAATGGAATAGAATAGAATAGAATAGGGAAAGAATAAGGAAAGAATAAGGAAAGAATGGAATGGAATGGAATGGACAAGACAAGACTAGACTAGTCCTTGGAGGTCTTCTAATCCAGCCCCTGCTCAAGCCGGAGATCCTAAAGCACTTCACACAAGTGGCCGTCCAGTCTCTTCTTAAAAGCCTCCAGTGATGAAGCATCTACAACTTCCGGTGGCAAGCTGTTCCACTGATTAATTGTCCTCCCTGTTAGGAAGTTTCCCCTTCATCCCAGGTTGCTTCCCTCCTTGATCAGTTTCCAACCACTTATTTCTTGTCTTGCTTTGGTGCTTTGGAGAACAATTTGACTCCTCCTTCCTCTTTGTGGCTGCCCCTCAAAAGACTCAAACAAGACGTGTGAGAACCCTATTCAGGATTGTCCATCGCTGGCATGGTAGTTCAGAGCCTGGCACCTTTTGGCACGTGTTACCCACACGACGAAAATGATCTTCCTAGTAAGGCCAACGCTTCAGCAGCTGTTGAGAAATAACAGTGAAGAAATACACACAGCCTGTTTTCCAGCTTCTGTTTTGAGCGCGTTAATCCGTGGATGTGTTTCATCACGCCTGAACATCGCCTGTCAAGTTCCCTTACTAACCTTCAGGTTCTGCAAGTTTTGCATTTCTCATTTGACCTCCTCTCTCAGCTCCATCAGGAATCCGTACTTTTAATGAGATACATAAATAAAGAGCTTGCCTTTTTTTTAAAATGCTAGAATGGCAATACGCAGCCAGGTTCCTGCCTTATTGCACAGTAAGTAAAATTACAACAGGACCGGTGCGGGACATGCGGTGTGGGAAATATTTAATAGCTTTGTTTTAAAGGAGAGATCGACATATTTTTACTGAAGCACTTTCTCGATTGCTAACCGGAGGAGATTGGCCTTCTTCATGTGGTCTGCAGCATTTTTATAAATTCACCGGTAATACCAATATTCATTGTTTTGAATCTTTGGAATAAGAATTTTGGATCGGTTGATATCTAGAAGCAACTGCCTACAAATGTTGTGCCTCTCTGATGCACTGTATGGAAAAAAAGTAACCTGCCTTTATTCTTGCAATTTTGCTAGATTTTGTTTTCCTGATATTCTAGTATCAAAATGGCTGGCAGGCTAATCTTTTTCTATCTGTATATACTGTATAAAAGTGAAATGCCACTCATGCATCATCACAAAATTTCCAGAACCGTTGTAAAGCCTACAAACTTGAAATTTGGCACATATGTTCCTCTTGGCTTCTACATGCTTCGCTAAGAAAGAATTTTTCAACATGACCATCAGAACATTAGTATTTCATATATTATTATTATTAACACACTCTGATGCTAAGGAGTTCTACTCCCCCTCCCCACCTGAAAAGAAATTTGTTCCAAATACAAAATACAAGCAGAGGAGAGGAGTTTCAGTTTTAGTTTCATAGCATCAAGCAGCTTTAGTACAGAACAGTTGAGCTAAGCCATGCCTAGGCTCCTTGCTGTCTCCTTGCTCACACAGCAAATACTGCTTCAGTTTCCAAACAGTCCTCAACACTCACATGCTTACAGGATGCTAGCCAGATGAATACTGATGGATGCTAGTAGGCAGAGGCACAATCCCCCCCCCTCTTATTTTTCTCCCCAAAAACTAATCCCGATCACATAGTTTCGTAGTGAAGCATGGGTATCGAGCTAGTATGAAAATAAAATATCATTCAGTATTTGCAAATATTTTTTTTTAGATTTTAGTTCTGGTTAAGAAACTTGAGAGTTTGGGATTAGCTTAAATCAGGGGTGAGCAACTCTGGCCAGTTTACGACCGGTGAACTTCCACTCCCAGAATTCCCGAGCCATCCGTGCCAGGCCATCATGTGACTGTGGGTGTTGCTTTAGCAGGAAACCCTAATCTAGCCAGTTGTAGTTTACTCAAACAAACCAAGATGTAGCCCATCTTGGCTTAGTTGGGGTCAGAGTTGTCTGTCAATTCTAAGCCAGATAACCCTGCCTAAAATTAAGTTACAGGCAGTCCCCGAGTCACGGCTGTAATTGAGCCGAAAATTTATATTCATTAAATGAATTTTGCTCCACTTCATGACTTTTCTTGCCGCAGTCATTAAGTGAATCACTGCAGTTGATAAGCTAGTAACCTGGTCGTTAAGTGAATCCCACTCGTTGATTTTGCTGATCGGAAGGTCGCAAAAGGGGGTCACATGACCCCGGAATGCCGCAACGGTCATAAATACGAACCAGTTGCCAGAAGCCTATGAAGTTTGATCCCATGATCATGGGAAGGCTTCAAAGGCCGTAACTGAAAAATGGTTGTAAGTCACTTTTTCCCCAGTGCCGTTGTAACTTTGGATGGTCCCTAAATGAACTGTTGCAAGTCGAGAACTACCTGTCTTGATGTTCCAGGTTCCAAGTGAACTTTTCCTTAGTGGTGTTGGAAGAAATATCCATCTGGTTCAGTTCCAAGCTGGGAGAAAGACACTGGAGACATGGAGGATGATTGGAAAGATGGTTTAATGATGAAGCAGAACCACCAAGCCCATGGTTCTGGTGCAGCTGACTACATGGAATTGAGAGGAAGGGGTTTTTATAACTTCTTTTGAGCTTTGAACTTGAGCTTCCTGTTCCTGTGCAAGAACATGTATTCTATTGGCTGTTGTCAGACTCTCATGGGACCATGTAGGGGTCATATTTGTCTGAGCTAAGCTTGGTTGAATTTTGGGCTGATGCAATGAAGAGGCTATTGTGGAATTTGCTTATGAATAGACCTACCTATCTCTTAAGTTCTGAGGGCTATTAAGAAAAGTGGGGGCTATTAAGAGTGCTTCCTGCCTCTACAAAAAAAAAACATGTTTCTCCGTTTCTCATCCAGGGAAATATAATGTTATGCCTTTTTAATTTTTTCCTCAAAATATTTCGTTCTTCTAGGAGAGGGGTGGGTGCTAATGTTCTACCTCAGAAAGGAATTTTCATTCTATTTCTTTGTTACAGGGATGGAGACAAGGAAGCTCATCACCGCGACTGACAACCAATATTCTGGCATGCTTTTGAAAGCACTGGACGAGCAGCGAGGCCTCGGGCTTTTCTGCGACGTCACTGTGATTGTGGAGGACCGCAAGTTTCGAGCCCACAGGAACATCCTTTCGGCTTCCAGCACTTACTTTCACCAACTCTTTGCCGTGGCGGGACAAGTTGTGGAGCTCAACTTCATCCGGGGGGAGGTTTTTGCGGAAATCCTCAACTACATCTACAGCTCCAAAATTATTCGGGTGCGATCGGATTTGCTGGACGAACTGATTAAATCGGGTGAGTTGCTTGGGGTCAAATTCCTCGCCGAACTGGGCGTTCCTCTACAACAGGTGAAGAACATGTCGTCGGAGGCCAATCCCAGCTCTTCGGAGGTGCCCATCCTGGAGGCAAATGGGCCCAAAGCCCAGAAGCCCCCAGCACTACTTGAGACCCAATCCATCAAATTCGGGAAACCTATCATTACAGAATCCTTTTCTCTATACCGGGAGCCGTGCGAATCCGCCAAGATCACCATTAGTGATTCGGAGGATGAGGATGTCGACGACGATGTCATTTTCTGCTCTGAGCTGGTACCGTCTAAGGAGCGTTCGGTGGAGACTAAAGTCATAACCCAGATCCCGCCTTGCCCAAATCCCACTGGGTCTTCTGAGGTGGCCAGCTCTACCAACAATCATTCTCTTCCTCAATCGGTGGCACCTCCACGGCTTGACTCCTCGACTGTTCTTCTGAATCCGGCCGAAAACCAAAAGCCTCTTGATGTTCTTCCTCTCCCAGCTCCAAAGACCATGACTCCAAATGTTGTCGTGCTCAATGCATCGCAGGTTGGCGTTGCTCCGGGGGTCAGTTCCTCCCATGAAATAGAGGTGTTGCCAATTCCCGAAGAGAACCAGCAGCCGTCCACCAACGATTCCTTAACTGACATGGAAACCAACGTCATCGATGAAGAAGAGGAAGAAGAAGATGTGGAAGACGATGACGACATCCTGGGTTTATCCAGTCCCGGTTCGGCAAGCAGCAGTTCTCTGGTCCAGCAGCCCACAACTCCCAAGCCTGCTGTTGCGGCGGACAGCACAGCCGTCCAGAAGAAGCAAGTGGTGAGCTTCCCGCCAGAGCCCGTCTCCCAACCCAATGAGTTCAAGATCCTGATCTCTGACGTTCTTTCCGGAGGCCTCAAGGACACGCCCCCAAACGTCGCGCCGAAGCACATCACTGAAGGGCAGAAAACTATCACATTAGACAAAGCAACGGAGATTGAAAGCTTGTCCACCGGCTGCAAAGTTTACGCGAACATCGGTGAGGACACCTATGATATCGTCATCCCGGTGAAAGACGAGGCCGACGGGGAAGTCCACCTGGACAACATGCCGCGCACCTCGGGCAACGACCCCAACCGCAAGCGCTTGAAAGTCAAGCATGACGATCACTACGAGCTGATTATGGACGGGAAAGTCTACTACATCTGCATTGTGTGTCGGAGGTCCTACGTCTGCCTGACGAGCTTGCGGAGACACTTCAATGTACATTCCTGGGAGAAGAAATACCCCTGTCGTTACTGCGAGAAGGTTTTCCCTCTGGCGGAGTACCGCACCAAACACGAAATCCATCACACCGGCGAGCGGCGGTACCAGTGCTTGGCTTGCGGCCAATGTTTTATCAATTACCAGGTGATGGCCACTCACCTTCGATCGGTTCACAGCCAGGATCCTTCAGGGGAATCCAAGCTGTACCGCTTGCATCCGTGTCGGTCGTTGCAGATCAGAAATTACGCATACATTTCAGGGAATTCCAACAATATCCCGGTCACCAATGACAATACCCTGGTTTATTCTGGCACTCCTTCAAAAGAAACCCCTCAGGAACCGGTCCCGAACCAACCTGCGAAGCCAATGACTTGGGACGACATCTTCGTCCCGCAAGCAAACGAATCCCTTTTTAAACAAAATCCTTCGGACGGCACCTCCGAATTTGAGTTCGTGATACCGGAATCTTACTGAAGGTTGTTGCTGAAATTGGGAGGGGGGGGGGAGGGGGAATGGTTTGTTTCGTTATCAAAAAGGGGAGGAAATTTTTTGTGGTTGTTGGATGGTTTAAAGGAAAAAAAACAAAACAAAAACCAGAGTTTTCTCAACGGGCCGCTTGGCAGCATCTAGAGAGCATCTCCTATTAACGGAACACGTCCACGTGCTTCTTCTTCGACCTTTTAGCCTATGGTAGTGTGTTAAAATTAGATAATGTGTAACTTTTGAACTTGTGAACAAAAAAATATCGGTCAGGAAATAAAACGATACTTGAATACAGGTTACAAGGCGCTTAGGAAGTTAGGCGTTTCAGCGTTTATTCATACGGATCAAAATCTAAAGTTACCGTTTCCCCCGTTAGGTGTAGAATAGCAGGAATATATATCTCTTCCTTGAACCACTTCTTATGTTCATGTTAGCACTTTAATGCTGAAAGGGGTTCCATTGTGACTACAAAACAGACACACAGCTAGATTTTCTTGCTGATGGGAAGCAGGAAATGTCGTCCCCCACCCCTCCCCCCTTTTAAAACAGAAATCAGTGTGTTCCTGCAACTGAACATTATAAGGGTCCAAATCGCGCTTGCTCTCACGAAACCAAGTTTTAACGGCGAAAGAGGCATAAGCCATTTCTTGTTGGCTTTTTGAAATAAGCAATTGTACATTGTTGGTAAAAAAAGAGAAAGAAGACGCTTTCTCCACGGAAAACATTTAACACCCATTTCTTATTATCCCCAGGGATTAAGATAACTCAGTGGCTGGACCATTGTATTTCACCATTTTTTATTTTGGACTCAGTAGGGTAGATGGAAAACATTACAAGATCAGGATCTTTTTCTACAGGAGAAGCAGGTTGGCCTTTTGGAATGAACCTTACTTCCCCCTCCCCCCCCCTGTCTTATTCCCTGGGAGGAAAAAATATATATATTTAGAAATCTAATTGTGTAGATTTCGGCCCGGAACAGTTCAGAAGCTTCCTACCAAAGCAGCCTTGCAAATGATGAGGTGTGTTTTTTGTTGTTGTTGTTGTTGCTCTGTAACTGAGTGGGTAGTTTTTTATTTTTTAAAAGAGAGAGATTGGTTAGTTCGTTTTTTTACAGCAGCCATATGGAGAAGGGGTTGGCTATTTTTTGGAGTGGGGGGCTAGTCGCGAGTTTCTTTTTTGTGGGCATGCTTTCCTTTCGTTGCAAATTGGGAATATACTTTTCCAGTGCTCGGCGATAAGCAAGGTCTCGATTTGAGCAAATAACAGAAGTGGTCAAGAGTTTGTTGTTGTTTTTTTCTTGTGTCTCAAACAACCTCTTGCCTTCTTTTTTTTTTGTAAATTATAATATTTGGAGTGGGTGTTATAGAAGGTTGAAAAGGACTGTGATGAATAAAATTAGTTAGCAATTGGTGGTTTGTCATGGAAAAATCTCCTGTCCTCATCACTTTAACTATTTTTTTCCTTCCTTCTTCTGTTCCCCTTTTCTGAAGTCTCTATTTTGTATTCAAAGTAGTCATTCCTAGTCCTTAATTTTGTGTCGTCGTTTTCTTTCTTTAACATCGTTTTCAGCCAGGAAGTGAATGAAATTCCGCTGTGAAGTAAAAATGAAAAATCATGTACGAAAATCACAATGGAAAAAGAGCCGATCGTGTTTCTAATAATGGGAGAAAGAGAAGCGAATGCCTTTTTTTTCTGTAGAGTTGAGACTACGTTTGATTATGGCTAGAAGTTTTTTTTGTTTTTTGTTTTTTTATAAATGGAAATGATCTTTTGAAATTGGCATTGCATACTTAAGTGAATAATTTGTGGGACTTTATTAAAAGAAATACCCTCACCGTTAGTCGATCTCCAGCATATTTTTGTCCTCTTCAAGAGACACTGATGTGTCCGTAGCATTTTATAAGCTAAGTGAAACTTAACTTCATTCAGCTGTCCATAGCAAAAGGTGTTACGTTTGCTAAGTAACCTACTATGTTGCTGTATGTCGATCAAACTTTCAGCTTGGATGTGCTACTCTCCCTCCCCCTCAGAAAATCCTGATAGCCAGTAATTAAATCAGTGCCTGTTGAAAGTGTCTTTTTTTTTTTTTTTTTTAATTTGCAAACCGAAAGGCGGAAGTTTCAAAACTGTTTATCTTGTTAGAAAGACAACTCTGCGTTGTAGTTTGGTTTTCCTAGGAAGAAAACTCTCAAATTTCCAAAGTTAAGGGGATCTTATCACGTAGACTTAAAGCCTTTTTGCTTTACGGTGTTGAAAATATTTTGATTGACACCATTTCATGAGTGTTTTTTTTTTTTTAAAGCAGCGGTTTCTCTCTTTTCCATTTTGTAAAAAGATCGTGGCATCAGCTCTGGAAAGAACGCCTCTAAATTCCATTACTAAATGAATTGTTTCTTCCTCCTCCCCCACCAAAAAAACCTCCCACATTTACTAAAGAGATGAATGTGAAGTACATCCTTGAGCAGAAATCTGAAGCGAAAATGGTAACAGTAGGTTAAGTCATTCCAAGTATGTCTCTCTTGGCGCAACGATGCTAGATTTTGTGTTCCGCTTGAGTTTGGATGTACCAATGTTATAAATTTTCCCTGTCCTGAACAGGGAATGCAAGAATCCCTATTTTTTATTTCTTTTTAGGTCCCCCTAAAAGAAAACTTGCATGCAATATTAACAGGATGAAAAAATTAGCAGTCACCAATGGTGGGATTCAACCGGAGTAACAACCGGTTCAGTGAGTGAACACTTCCAAACTAGTAGAATCCCACCAAATTGTCACATTTTCTGGATCGTTGTGGAAAAGATATTCTGCATCTGAGAGAATTCAGATAGCCATGCCTGCCTGAAGTTTGTATAAAATCCAATATTTTACCACCTTGGGTTTTTTTTTTTTTTTGCGCAGATATTTCTGAGTTATGAATTCGTTATTTTGGGGGCAGGAGAGTGTGTAAGAAAGCTCGATTCCTTTTCAAGGGTGGCTTTGCACCTAACATGCATTCCTGTATATGACGAGATTAATAAGGAAAAAAAAATCTACTTGATTTAATTTATTTCTTCCCGAAGCATTATCACTTATTAGCAAAACGAAAGATGCAAAAAAAAGGGGCAGTGGTTTTATTTCAACGACTGTTTTTACAGAGCGGTATTATTATTTTATTTTTATTTTTAATTTTATCAATACAGTACTGTAATGTATATAGTTGTACAGCTTTTTCCCCCCCTAACATACCTTTTCTGGGAATTTGTTGTTCTGCTTTTCATTAACCAATACTTGACTTTTAGTCCTTAGAGCTTTGTATGGCAAAATAAATAAATAAATAAACCCTTTCAATTCTGCGGAGGTGCAAATGTTTCTTTTTTCTTTTTACAATCATGGCATCCTTGTCATTTGGAATCAAATCTCTTGTCCTTGCGGGATAAACTGAAAGGCATCATTGCTTAAGTCCACGTTGGTCGAGATACGTGGTTAGGATTCTAAACCAGTCTGCTCACCGGTGGTTTTATGTATACAGCTAGTCCTCGACTTAACAACAGTTCATTTAGTGACCGTTCAAAGTTAACAAATGGCACTGAAAAAAGTGACTTATGACCGTTTTTCACACTTAATGACCATCGTGGTGATTCACTTAACAGCCACAGCAAGAGAAGCCGTAAAATGCAGCAAAACTCCCCTTAACTGTCCCGCTTAGCATCACAAATATTGGGCTCGGTTGCGGTCATATGCCAAGGACTTCCTATACCAGGTAGTCCTCAAAAACCGGTTGCTTAGCCACTGAAGTTACAACCAATCCAATAAAAATCGCTGCAGGATTTGTGTCTGGCTGGTTTAAAGAACAGAAGGATTAGGAGCGACATGATAGCAGTGTCCACGTATTTGAGGGGCTGCCCCAAAGAAGAAGGAGTCCAGCTATTCTCCAAAGCATCAGAAACAACAACAAGAAACAACGGATGGAAACTAACCAAAGAGAGAAGCAACTTGGAATTAAAAAGAAAAGCTTCCTAACAGTGTGGACAATTAACCAGTGGAACAGCTTGCCACCAGAAGTTGTAGGTACTCCATCACTGAAGGTTTTAAAGAAGAGTCCGGAGACAGTCACTTGTCTGAAATGATATAGGTTCTCCTGCTTGAGCAGGGGGCTGGACTAGAAGACCTCCAAGGTCCCTTCCAGCTCCATTCTATTCTACAAGAGGGACTTATGGCCAGATTTGAAGCTCCGATGGTCAGGCTCCCTCTGCAGTCAGGTTTGATCAAACTTTGGGTGTTTGGCCTTCAAATGCAGCCGTGTTGCTGCCAATTCAGGTTCCCATAGTCACGTGATCACGTTTCACGACGATTTGGCTCAAAACGGGCACTTTTGTTTTCGTCAAAACTGCACCCGGAGAGAATCACCAGTTCGTTTTAAGGGCTGCGAGGTTGAAATTCATGACTGCAAATTGGCTTAATGTCTGATCCCTTTTACAGCCATTACAAGTTACGTCCACAATGGACAGGCTCCGTTATGGTCACAGGCTAAGGAATTTACCTATACTTTTTTGTTTTTTTGAGTTTGCAGTGATGTTAAGGCATCAATTTGAGGCCCCCAAAGACTCTGGAACCCATCTACGTAATTGCCATTGATTTTGGGGCACATTGGTTAAAATTACACATCTCAGTTTTCAAAGTCGTTAAGATGAGAAGTTTGGGAAATGGTACATGCATGAAACTACCATCTGTGGTCTTATAACAAAAGGGATGGTTTATTTGCAATTTTGCATCGTTGCATTAATCACAGACATATCTTCCCTTACCCACTCTCTAGACTGAGCCACGGCTCCTGTCAGTCACACTGCCTTTAATGCATGTTGAGCAATGTTTAATCTAGAAATGCCCGTAAAACACCCTGCTTTTCAGATGCACAATCTTTTTTTCCCCACGTCATAATTTGTGCTTCCCAATTTTTCAACAAAGCACCCTCTTCTCTCAAGCGTGCATCAAGTAAACTGAATGTGCAAAGCGGTAGAAATGCTCATTTATTCATGCTAAGTTTCCGGGTGTGAACATGCACACTCACACACATATAAAAGAGGCACCTGTTTAAAGTCTTTTCTTTAAAGAAACCTCAGATTTAGATATAATGGCTATAGCTGTTGATGGGACCAATTTGTTTTTCCGTACCAGGCTGCTGCTAGGTGGAGGCAGAAAGGGATTGCTAGACTGCCTGGGAAACTGTCACAGATCATTGAAAAGGAAGATCACATGGCCGCAGCAGCAGCACTTGGTAGTACCAAAACAGTCACAATCTTTCCGAACTTTCTTCCCTAAAGGAGTGATGGATCCTGGATTTTGAACACATTTCTGTATAAATTAGCCCACTTGAGGTACCTTGGTTCAAAAACAGTTGCCCTACGAGGCCATGTTTCATCCAGATCACCACAATAAGAGTTTCAGTAGCATATCGTTTTCCCTGTGGCTGGGGAATTCTGGGAGTTGAAGTCCACGTATCTTGAAAGATGCCATGGTTGAATAACACCGGGATAGCTTTTATTTCAAAGAAAAGAAATCTGGTTTTTTTCCAGCACAATGCCAATGAATCTACCACTGGGTGTCAGGATTAGAGCCGACTCTTCACTCAGCAGCTCTGAAATCCACAAAACACCCTGCATTCATTCTTGGCCATTTGCAGATTAGTCGTATGGCTGTCCCTCCGCTCTACACACCTGTTTTAAAGAATTAATTCCACGCATTCCAACTCTTTGAGACTTCATTTAAAAGAACAGTGGAGAAATGGTGCCCCTTCGGCAGAGGTTCCAATTCACAGAGTCATCTGGGACAAATCGATCAAGCTGGCAGCTGCCATCAGTCGATCCACGTTCCGTTCCCTGTTGTGTGTCCATTTATCCAAGTAAATAGGATTGTATGGGTTGCAGTTGCCCTCCTGACTTCCTTGAGCCGATGTCAAGTTTTGAGAAAATGCTCAGCGTGGTCCCTCCAATAGTTTAACCAAATTGCCCATTTTCGGAAGGCCCGAAGATCTTCCTGGATCGCCAAATGCTATCTTTAAACAAGCAATTCGCTCAAAGAGACCGTGGGGGAAAAAAGCAACTTCTTTTTAAAAAAAACAGGCCAACGGTTAAATCTCCCGCCATCATTTAAAAACAAGCAAGGATCCGGGGCACTTTTGAATCCCTCTTGTGCAGGGATCTCCAAAATTGGCCACTACTTTAAGGTGTGTGGACTTCAACTCCCAGAATGCCCCAGCCAGCCGTGGGTGTCGGAAATCTGGACGTCTTAAAAAGTTGTCAAATTTGGAAACACCCTCTGGCTCAAGAGCGATGGACGCAAGAAAGGAAACTGAGGAAAAGTCCGGCCATGTCCCTTTGTTTCTTCCAGTACAAAAGATTTGCGGGAAGTTCGAAGGGCTTGCATCCTCGCCCCTTCTCCTCAGTCTTTACGGCGAATAAGGCGGCGGCTTTTCAGAAGGTGGAAAATACGGTGGGGAATAACGAGGGGGAGCACCAGTCGGGGACCAGACCAAGCTTGGCGAGGGCGGTAACGAGAGCGGATCCTCCGGCAGGCCGGATGGGCTGGAGGTTGCAAAGAGGCTGGAATGCTACAAGGGGAACGAAAGACAGACACAGAGAGAGAAAAATACAGAATAACAGACAGAAGAGATCTTGGAGGTCTTCTAGTCCAACCCTCTGCTCATGCAGGAAACCTTACACCATTTATATGTACACTGAGAGCTTATGCACAGGAGGCAAATTCCTTGTTTTTCCAATCATACCTGGCCAATAAAGAATCGTGTTCTGCTCTGCTCTGTTTCTGTTCTGCTCTTGGTTCTGTTCTGGTTCTGTTCTGGTTCAGTTGTTCTGTTGTTTGGTTCTGGTTCTGCTCTGGTTCTGTCCTGTTCTGTTTCTGCTCTGCTCTGTTTTTGCTCTGCTCTGGTTTTGTTCTGCTCTGGTTCGGTTCGATTCTGGTTCTGTTCTGCTCTGCTCCTGTTCTGTTCTATTATTTCTACTTCTATTTCTATTTCTCTTGGAGTAAAATACAATTTAATGTTAAGTGAATCTGGCTTCACCTGTCCGAATGGTACAAAAGGGGAATCACATGATACCTCCCCCACCCACCCAGGCTGCTGCAACTGTCATAAGTACATGCCAGTTGCCAAGCCTCTGAATGTTGATCACATGACTGCAGAGAGGTTGCAATGAAGTGAACAATAGCTGCAGGCCGCCTTTTCCAGGGCTTCAAGGGGTTGCTAAACTTGTAGAAAAAGCTTTCAATGAAAGAGAGTCTGCTCCCAGCTGGATGGAGATGAAGACAAAGCTATCGCCTGGGGTATTGTACCTGGAAGTCATACGCTGAATACGGTGGCAGGTGAGGGGTGCTGTGGTAGGTGTTGTATGAGGCCACCTGGGGTCGAGAGTAATAGGACACAGTGGGCCGGGTGTTTTCGACCGTGCACGTAAGAGTAGGATGAGCGGGAATCTGAAAACAAAGAAGAGAGAAGACTCTATGATCTAATCGGAAGACCTCGTCCAGGTCTCCCCAACCTGGTACCCTCTAGATCAGGGGTCTTCAAACTTGATAGCTTTAAGACTGGTGGACTTCAACTCCCAGAATTCCTCTTCCAGTCATGTTAGCTCAGGAATTCTGGGAGTTGAAGTCCACGAGTCTTAAACTTGCCAAGTTTGAAGACCCTTGTTCTAGATGCTCTGGGCCCAAACTGTCATCCCCTTAACCGGCGTAGCTAATGCCCTGGTTGGGAACAATAGGGATTGTAGTTTTAAATCAGGGCTCTCCAAAATTGGACTTCAACTCCCAGAATTCCCCAGCCAGCATGATTCTCAAGCATGAGCCCGAAGACAAGCCATTGAAGGAGGTAGGGAGTGATGGGAAGGAAGAAAA